AATGTTATATCCATTTTCTTCTATCATGTGGTTAGAGAAAGGTAACAAGGAACTATGGATTTGAATTTCTAGACTTTAAGCCAATGAATAACTGCCATAGGGGCATTCTCAGCATCAGTTGTGCAGCCGTTGAACCTTTGATTAGGACATTTGGATATAATGTGCTAATCTTCATGGCCGAAGTAACACTGCGGGTTAGACTTCGTCTTCCAACTGCGAAGGAGGTGTACGGTACGATTCACGCTGTTTACTTTACTCGCGTGGCAGCTATAACTGGAAACAGGTGCGTAATACTTCGAGACAGAGTACCCTCCCGTAGTACTTTGGGCTCCTCCCCATCGAGATGAAACGGTAAGTTTTGGTAATAAACTGAAACTCGCCTTGATCATTGCTACGTCTTTTCAAAGTTTGGCTTAAAGATGAATGTTCAATCAGGAGTGGCGCATAAATATTTTAACGTATTTCGCTAATAGACGTTCGCACATCATTAGGCAGTATATACATACCATCACGCACCATGATGTAGAGGCTAAAAGTAGTTTACGTTAGTGACTCGCCTGTCTGATAAAACAAACTCAGTTATCAAAATGACATATGTAATACTCTCGTGAATTATGCTTATGTTTTCTGATATACTCACGTGACAATCACTTCTAGAATCTGACGTGGACAACCATGGCTTGTTTTGCTTATCATTGATGAAGGAGACCGCTTCAAATAGTGCAAAAGTTTCGCTGATTATCTCAGCGTTAGCTCAGAGTTCAAACTATCACCTCATCGTTCAAAATACGAAAATGTTAACACCCCTTCAATGCAAATTTCAAGCCTAGATAATAATGTTTTATCACTGAATTCATAATCACCACCATCAACGTTTTTTGATTCGCTGCTGGAAAAAAACCTTTCTAAGATTTTGCAACAGACTTGTGTCTTCTGCAATTCATGACACGTTGATCGAATTAGCTTCTTCAGTTCGTCCTATCATTGAAATATTTATGAAAAACGGTGTCAATGGAAACTGGATGTTGCTGATGCAGCACTACTGACGTGATCTACTCCAGAGGAACAACGTCGATAAGTAACGAGTGAATTTTATGAACCTTGGACGAGAAAACGATCACGAAGGAGTTGAACAACAACTTACAGTCACCCATCCATAGAAGTTCTATGAATTGTCTTGTTCACATGAATTCTAGCTGTAGGAAACACGAGTTCAGAATAATACTTTTCATTATTCGAAGTCCTCTGTCCATTTCGCATCCAGGCAGTAATGCCCAATACAAGAAATGACAGCCAAGACACGCGCAGGTCTATGATAATGACATCTTGATTACAGATCCTGAGCAACGAAATGGAGGCCACCGGCTATAATTTACAGTGCAGAACTTGCAGTGAAATCCTTTCACCATGCAGTATACCCTTTAAATAAAAAACGACGTCTAAGTGAGCAACCACGAGCAAGAAAGCACTTGTTGGAGGATGTCAACAATGGAGGCAAAGGCTAATCTCCTCCCGTAATAACTTGATATTAACTTTACCAATCGATTAAAGAAAGCATGTTATTTTTTGTTACTTTCTTTGAATGGACGAGACGCGGCAAGCTGACCCATCCATAAATAAAGAATTTAAAGGAAAACATCTTATGAAGGAACCTAGATTTGCTAGAAGTGTGGAATTTGGAGCATCTATTGTATGGCCGCTGGTTCAGAAGGCTCAAACACTGAAGTTTTATTAGGCGTCAAATGATTACCATCGTTCGA